CACACACACACACACACAGCACAATATAAAAATAAAATATTAATGAAAATCAGTTATGAAACAAAGTAACTACTAATATAGATTCTACTTCACAGATCTTCCTGCTTTCGTTTCACTTTTATAAAGGTTCGTGATTAATAATCGTGCCTTTTTTTTATTCCCTCCAGCGGAGCGTTACTGCGGCAACACCCCAGCCGATGTGGTGTTCATGCTGGACAGCTCCAACTCCATGTGGGGTCCGGACTTTCAGAATCAGCTCGAGTTTGTGGCCGAGGTGGCCCGAATGTTCGAGGTCGGATACAACTCTACGCAGGTGAGTAAAGGACTGAGTGGGGGCTGGATGAAGTTGAAAACCTTCGGATACAGTTGGATGGATTATATAATGTTTTGATAGTGTTGGATAGTGATTCAGTGGAGCTGGATGGAGTTGAAAAGAGTTGAATGCAGTTGGATGGAGTTCAGATTATTTTGGCACAGTTTGGTGGGGGTTGGGTGTGGTTGGAGAGAGTTGAAAAGATTTGGATACATAGGTAGAGTTGGATGGAGTTTAGAATATTTTGGTAAAGTTGGATGAGTTTCAATGGGGTTGGATGGAGTTAAAAAGAGTTCGATGCAGTTGGATGGTTTGGTGGGGGTTGAGTGTGGTTGGATAGAGTTGAAAAGATTTGGATACATAGGTAGAGTTGGATGGAGTTTAGAATATTTTGGTACAGTTGGATAGGGGTTAAGAATTTTCTGGTACATTTAGATGGCGGTTGGGTGAAGTTGAAAAGATTCGGATGCAGTTGGGTGGAGTTTAGAATAGTTTGGTATAGTTGGATGGAGTTAATAATATTTAAGTACAGTTTGGTTGGGGTTTAAGTGGGGTTGGATGAACTTGAAAAGATCTGGATACAGTTGAATGGAGTTCAATCAGATTATTTTGGTACATCTGGATGGGGGTTGGAGTTTGGGTTAAAGTTGATCTAGATCCCGCACCGCCCCTTTGCCATTCACCCCCCCTCCCCCCAATCCTTCGGTTCCATCGTTAAAGAGCTAGATCTTACTTAATGTTGCATAATGAGGGCCATGTTGCTTCTTTGCATTCTTGTTTCTTTGGTTCATCTGTCAGTTTGCTGGCTGACTAACACAAAAGCTGTACCTAGGGTCAGTATAATGTTGGCTGTTAATCATATCGTTAGATTGATTGCTTTTTCTTGTTAGGTCTTGTTTAGTTCTTACATTTTCAAAGAACAGGAAAGACGACATAACCAAAGCATCAAAAATCACATATTATCATTTTATTGTTTACTCTACAACTTTCCAGGTTGCCTTGGCAACATTCAACGAAGACGTGCAGCTGCAGTTCAACTTGAATGAGTATCACGATAAAGAGGAGCTCATTAACGCCATCACCAGTGTGAGTAAAGACTTCCCAAGTTCTGTGGCTCTTCCTATTCCTCTTCCTCTTCTTCTTCTTCTTCTCCTTCTTCTTCTTTTTCTTCTTCCTCCTCCTCCTCCTCCCCCCACAAAAAAAGAAAGAAAAAACCCTGAGCGGCGTTGACTGTCTAGCGATTAGTCTACCGGAAATGGGTTCGTGAGATTGAGAGTTCGAGGATCATTTCGATTTGAAATTGTGTCCTAAGATTTTTTTTAAAAATTTTTTTTGATTTTTTTTTTTTTGGGGGGGGGGTAAGTGTTTTACGGCGCTAGCAACTGCAAAGGGTCATATGAGCGCGCGGGACACATTAAACATTTACAGCTGGTAGGAAATTTTGAATTTTGCCCTGAATGGCGGCTGAAGCCTACTCGTATCGATTTTAGACCACCAAGGGATCTTAAACGTGCGCAACTAGCACACGGGTCTTTGTCCGAGAAAGCTAGGTGTAGATCTTTCCAAGCTGAAGATCAGGGGTGTGGATGAAAGAAAGCAGCAAGAAGGAGAAGCAGTAGAAAGGCTACAGAAAGAGTCAGGAGCCCAGAGAAGGGGGCAAAAGAGGTGAGGGGATGTGGACAGAAAGTGGAGACGAAAGCACACGGCAGAATATGGCCAGAGAGCAGGAAAGGAGGTGAAAGGAGACAATTTTAGAGAAGAAAATGTTACCGTCGTTACCCAGATTCGAACGAGGGACCTTTGAAAGAGAGGCGAACACCTTAACCTCCAGGCCACAAAAGCCCCCTGTCCTGAGAATAGGCACTTTACCCCAAATGTCTCTTTTAGTTAAATTTGAACATCCCCCCCCTTATAGTGTCATCATTTATGTTACCG